CTCTTTTTAGATGTCTATCTTTGTAACGTCCCCAGGTTCAGTGCCCTGAACTATGGGAGGTAAATGTGAAAAAGTGCCAAGATGGCAGTCTACCTGAGCTCCTGAGCGGCTCGGCCCACAGGCTGGGAGCATGGCTGCAGGTTCTAATCCTGGCCCCACTATGAGACCTCAGTTTTCTCACCTGTAATATCGGAATCCCATCATCTTTGGTGAGGATTAAAAACACAAATAGTGGGAGGCACTCTATAGCGACAGCTGAGATAGCTGAGACTCTTGTACTCCTTCCTAGTCTCTCTTGAGTGTCAAGCCCAAGTTCTGGAGGCCATCTCAGGCCCCTCACGCCCATCTTTAGTCCACCTTAGACCCCCAGTTCTAAGCGACTGTAAAATGGGGGCAGGGTCGCCCAGAGGGCTACTGACCTGAATCTGTGGGCCGCGACAGCCCCACCCAGCCCACCGTCCCGGACCCCTTCAGGCCGCAGCCGGCTCAGCCTGCGGCCCGGGCCTGGCTCCCTCCCTCCGGCGCCCCGCAGGCAGACTGACAGCCCGCGGGGCCCACACTGGCCACTACCCGCGTCACCTCAGGGCGTGCTCACAAAAGCCTGTGAGGTAGACAGCGCTACAGAGGCAGAAAACTGAGGCCCAGGAGGCCTGAGTCACTTGCCCATGTCCCGGCCACTTGTCCATGAAGCCGGCGAGGGAACTGCCTTCAGAGAATTCTAGAAATCGAACCCAATTCGCCCGACTCCACGCTCTCCCTCTTTGCCCCCCGGCCCGCACGCACCTACAGGGGGCGCCGGCCTGCACGCACGCGCAGTCATCGCAACCGCGTCCCCTTTAAGACAATTCCTTTTGCTTCCTCCGACCCCTTCACTTCCGCTCCGCCGTTCCCACAATGCAGTGCGGCTGAGCGCCTCGAAGCCCGCGGGGACGCTGCGGGGGAACCCCGGCTGAGGCGGCGGCGGCGACGTGGGCTGCGGCGGGCCCGCGGCGTCGGGCGGTGCGGATGTCGGGCTGGGCGGACGAGCGCGGCGGCGAGGGAGACGGGCGCATTTACGTGGGTAACCTTCCGACCGACGTGCGCGAGAAGGACCTGGAGGACTTGTTCTACAAGTACGGCCGCATCCGCGAGATCGAGCTCAAGAACCGGCACGGCCTCGTGCCCTTCGCCTTCGTGCGCTTCGAGGACCCCCGGTGAGGCCCCGCTCCGCCCGCCCGCCTGAGGCCGCGGGCCCCGGCCTTCCCTCTTCCCTCTCCCCTCCGGGGCCTCCCCTCCCCCCCTCCGCGCAGACCCCTCACGGCGCCCCCGGGTGGAGGATGAGGCCTCCTCTCACCGCAGGCTCCTGCCGTCCCTTGCTCCGTCGTCACTTCCTCTAGGATTATTTCTTTTTTTTACTTTACTTGAAAACACAAAAGCTGGGCGTTTGGAGGGCCCCGGACCGCCCAGACCGGCCTCGGGGATGGTACGTACGATCATTCTCTCTCTCACGGCTGGAGAGGCACCCTTCTGGGGAAGCGGCCCGGAACCAGCCGGGAGAGGACTCGGTGAAGAGCAGAAGTGGCCATTCGCTCCTCCCTGCCCGCCCCTCCCCCCAGCCAGAACTCGCCGTTAGCGGGGAACAGACTGCGGGGCTGTGGTCGCCTTTGGAGGTCGTAAAGGGGTCTCTGTGATGGAACAGATCTCTATCCGCGCGCGCCCCGCCCTGCAAGGCCACGACCTCGTTCTTATAAAAGCACCAGGGATATGGAAAAACTTCTAAAACGGTCTGAGGGGGTCTCTGATTTCACGCTACTCCTCTAATGAGGGAGGCACCGCTAGATGCTTAGGGCCCCAAGCATTTGGAAGCTCTCGATCCCTAAACTGGCTCAAAGGGGGCTCTTTGTGATTTTGCAAACTTTGTCGACCTTGCAGCCAGAAAAGGCCTGGGAACTTTCAAAACTGCGGCTGGTGGTTCTTAGAAGCCACCGCATGGACTGGTCACTGCACCTGGGGGTAAATAAGAGCCCACTCTCTTTCCTAGCAGTGACCCAGGGAATGCTTTACCTAGTCTGCGCCCCGCAGGCTTCACCACAAGGACTGTCTATAGGGTGTCTTGCCTACCTGGTGTGGTGGTATAGGGCAGGGAAGGCATCTGAGGACAGGGAGGTAGGAAGCACCCTGAGGCTTTGATGACTGACAAAGCTCATTCTTAGCGCCTTGCCGTTTGCCTCAAAAGCAGAAGTAGGTATTTTCACACCTAAACTGGAGGTTAAACTGTAACCTTCTGTAACACTTCCAGTGTGTTTTTTGAACAGTCGCCACGTGTCAAGTACCACTTTAGTAAACCTACAAAAGAGGTAGTGGTAGCCACATTTTACAAATGAAGAAACTGAAGATTTAGAGTTGCTGATAAAAGAATGCTAGTAAGGGATCAAGGTAGGATTTGAACCCCCTATGCTGCTCTTTAAAACACAAACTTATGTATGATATGCTACATTGTCATCTCTTCCCTCCTTTCTTCCATAATAGAAAAGCTGTCTTTTGATATCACTAGATGCCAAGTTTCTATAGCAAAGCACTGCCTACATAGTATCATATTTAATCCTTACAATAACCTTGTGAGATAGGCGTATTACTCACATTTAAGAGACGTGAAAATGATATAAGCATTTACCCGAAGACGACTACCTAGTCAGTAGCAGAAAAAGGATTTGAACTTGTCAATCAGTATTGAAAATCTGCACTTCAACCCTAGCAGTTCTGCCTCTCCTTCACTTCATTGTAAATACAGCCAGGGTTGCACTGGTCGTGGTCCTCATTGCTTTTAACCTTGCGACTAGAGGGTGCCTGGGTGGCTCAGATGGTTAAGCGTCTGCCTTCGGCTCAGGTCATGATCCCAGGGTCCTGGGATCGAGTCCCGCATCGGGCTCCCTGCTCCTTGGGAGCCTGCTTCTCCCTCTGCTTCTCTCTCTCTCTCTCCCTCCCTCCCTCTGTCTCTCATGAATAAATAAATAAAATCTTTAAAAAAAAAAAAAAACAACCTTGCGACTAGAATCTTGATAAGCAATGATGTGCCTGTGACAACTGAATGATGCCTTCATTAGTACATCTTTGGCTCTGCTTGTCCATCCAAGCTCTGAGGCCATTCTTCAGTCCAGTACTGGAGAACCAGTTTGGTTCTCCTAGAGTCCTAGGGAAGACTGAAAGTAACTTCATGGAATATTTCCTCTTTTGGCAAAACTGTACCCAGAGAGTGGTCTTCACAACTTAGTTTTCCAAACTGTGATGAAAAGGTACACATGAGAGTTGCGTATTTCTCACAAAACACAAAGCATCTGTCTTTTGAGCCTGATTTTTTTTCTTTTGAAGATTTAAATTTTTTTTTATTTCCTTTTTTTTTTAAAGATTTTATTTATTTATTTGACGGAGAGAGAGAGCACAAGCAAGGGGAATGGCAGGCAGAGGCAGAAGGAGAAGCAGGCTCCCTGCTGAGCAGGGGGAGCCTGATGTGGGACTCGATCCCAGGACCCTGGGATCATGACCTGAGCCGAAGGCAGTCGCTTAACCAACTGAGCCACCCAGGCACCCAAGATTTTATTCATTTATATGACAGACACAGCAAGAAAGGGAACACAAGCAGGGGGAATGGGAGAGTGAGAAGTATGCTCCCCGCCGAACAGGGAGCCTGATATGGGGCTCGATGACCTGAGCTGAAGGCGGACAGTTAACGACTGAGCCACCCAGGCGCCCCTGATTTCTTTTTAAATGAATTTTTCTTTCTAGAGACAATGGTACTGGGCCTTGTTGAAGAATATTAAAGGACTAGTGTGTGCTGGGCATTTTTGAGAAACTGCTCACAGGGTTAGAGAAATATACTGGTGAAATCAAATCCTCTGTCAACATTTTTTTTTTCTAAATTAGTCCTCTTATAAGTCATCTATTTACCCCTTTATTATCATTCCATACCTAGAAAACCGTGTGTGTGACAGGTGTAAAGTTTAATTCTAATATCATGAAAGGTCTTCACACAAAAGCAGTAGTGCATCGAGACTGTTCTATTTTTCTGACTCCAGGTTTCCCTTTTATACTTGTTCCTCAGGTCCCTCACTGGGAAGTTAGCCTCCTGAGCAGCACTAACTCCAAACCTTTTTTTGCAGAGATGCTGAAGATGCAATTTATGGAAGGAATGGTTATGATTATGGCCAGTGTCGGCTTCGTGTGGAGTTCCCCAGGACTTATGGCGGTCGGGGTGGGTGGCCCCGCGGTGGGAGGAATGGGCCTCCTACAAGAAGATCTGATTTCCGAGTTCTTGTTTCAGGTATGTTCCTTTAAAACTGAATGAGATGATGCATGTAAAATACTTAGCACACAGTCTGGCCTCCAAGAAATGTTGTTATTCTTCAGTGCATGGGGCATGTGGGGCTTTCTTTTCAATAGCCTGTGCAGTCTGAAGCCCTGCCATCTTGCCACTGAGGCAGGTATCTTGCAAATGAAACTGCACTGGTAGTGTAGCCTTGGTAGAACATCAACTTGCTTCTTATAAAGTTTTCTAGTGTTGAGAGAGAAGATGAGGGCAAAACCCTGTGAGCTAGAATTCTATAGAGATGTTTTCTTTTGTAATGTACTCGGTATCAGACTTGGTAGACATTCCAGGAACCAGATTTGAACTACTGCCTAGCCTTGGATGCTGAAAAAGGCCAGATTTTGGTGGTGGCTTTGGAATTATATAAAAAAGAAAAGAAAAGAACTTGGAGTTTTAGGGGTTGTACTGCAGAATACAGAATGAAATGTCTAGTGTTGACAAGTCATGAAATGCCAAGCTCAGAGGTTTATGCATCTTTTCAAAATACTAAAACAGTGGTAAAGACCTGGGGCCTTTTGCACATTGCAGGGGCATTTTAGGACCATGGTGGAGTGAAATGTATTGAGAAACCTGGCACTTTTTTGGATGTGAATGTCACACAGTTACAGCAGACCCCCATGGTACTTAAGAGTGATCCTCTCAGTATCTGCCTATCTTGTGTCCCTTTGTAATTTTTTAACCCCAGAACTCTATTCCCTCCTTCAGGATGTCATACATATCTTTTTTTCTCTCCATGCTGCTCTGAAATCCTGCTTAGAAAACTATTAGGAAATGGCTGCAATCCTGAGCTGTGAGCGGTAAACACAGCCTTTGAGAGCAGGAGCACATTTCCCTTTCATGACATCAGGTAGGGTTGTATAATTCCCGACTAGTTGTAGCGTCTGAGTCTTACCTTTTCCCCCACTGTATTGAAGAATGTTGGTGATCTTTTGAAAGGTACTTTGTTTAGTTTGTTAGTCATTCACACCTACAAGAAAACAAACTTCAGATTTTTGTTGTGTTGTCTACCTTCAGCTACGCCTTGGTTACTTTCATTGGATAGTTTCAAAATTTCCATGTCCTGAGAACCCAGTCAAGCAAGAGATAATTGGTACTGATAAATTTCATAATGGAGAAAATTAGAACTCAAAGTCTTGGGAGTTTGATATTAAATATGAAGGCTAAAGAAAGGCTGTGAATTCTCAGAGATACTAAATCTGTAATGGGGTGGACTTCTTGCTCTATTGGAAGGGCTTGGTCTCTGGAAGATTAGCCTAGGACCAACTTCTTATGGTGATTTACCACACATACGTTAGTACTCTTCACTGGTTTTATGCCCCTTACAATTTGTGATTTGGGGATCCTCAGGATTTTAAAGTAATGATTGATGAAAAAGGGAACCTAGGTATTGCTGGCTCTTAACAGGTCAGTTAACATGGCTGAAGGATATGGCCTTTTATGTTGTCCATGCCTAGGACTTCCACCATCAGGCAGCTGGCAGGACTTGAAGGATCACATGCGAGAAGCTGGGGACGTCTGTTATGCAGATGTGCAGAAGGATGGAATGGGCATGGTTGAATATCTCAGAAAAGAAGACATGGAATACGCCCTGCGTAAACTGGATGACACCAAATTCCGCTCTCATGAGGTGAGTTCCCACCTTTTTTTGAGCTTGCACCTAAGCCACTCCACCTGAAGCTGACCTAGCAGACATAGCAACAGGCCATGTGTTTGCCATTTGATGACCTCATAGTACCATTAAAGATCTATCTTAAGTGGATAAAGCCAAGGAATTCATCATGCCCAAACCCTTCAGGGTCATGACAGAGAAAAGTCTGCAGTCATAGTGTTTTTAACCTGGAGAGAATACTTGTGCAGTCTGTCATAATGTGGTGAGCTGTTCTGTGATACCATCCCTTTCACAACTGGCTTAATCTGTAACGTACTTCTGTGAACCTAATCATTATGGTTGTCTCTCCTCTGGGTCTAGTCTGGGCTCTGCAAGCCAACCTCATCATCTCAGCTCTCCTAAGGTACTGCTGTTGTGCCAAGTTATCACTTCATTTTTCCTTTCCCAGAGTAATGCATTTTCTTGTAATCACCTTATCCTCAGGACTTAGTTCTTGATGTTTTTCCTTTCGAGAAGGTAGCCGCTGCTTTAGATCTCTCGATTTGATTCACATGTTGACTACCCCTTTGATATCACTGAGATAAAGACAGCAGACCCAACTGGACATTGCTTTTTCTGGTTATCTTGTCTTGACTTACTATGGGGTTTAGGTATGTCTGGGGTCCATTTCTTTCTCTAAGGATTCATATAATTCCCTAATTTTATGACTTGGAAAGTACACAACTTAACAGTGCTTTTGCTCAGACTGAATTTGGAGCAGAAACAAAACAGGATCTGGTCCTCAGTTATACTGCAAAGCAGGGCCTCAGTAAGGATAAATCCAATTACTGACTTCACCTAGGGACTTCCGCATCCGACTTCTTTCATCCTAGCATTTTTAGATCCTCTGAGAGTGCTGGCTGAGGGCAAAGGGCACAGGCCAGCCTGGACATGACTCCTCTCCCACTTAATAATTTTTTAGCTGAGCTATGCTCTGAACCTTGGTTCCTTGATATGCAGAATAGGAACAGTAATAGCACTGTCTTGTAAGACTTGCCAAGAAGCTAACTTATGAAGATAACTGAGTATCTAACCCAGATCCTGACACCTGAGAGGTGTTGAATACAGGTTAGCTTCTTCCATAGGTATTTATCCAAAGATGCATATATGAAGTGGCAGCGGATTGAATTGTATGACCTCTGAGATCCTTTCTAGTTCTTAGATTCAGGGGTCAGTGGCAGTAATTCAGGTATGTTAACAGTACTGGGTAGTATTTGAGCATTTACCACATGTGAAGTTGCCATTTATTATTTGTGTCACACTGGAACAGATAAGAACATTATTTTCCTCGTTCTTGAAATGAGCTGGTAAGCATACGTACCTCATAGCATTATTGTGAGAGTTTAATGAGATAACATCATGCCAGAAAAACAGTAAGTGCTCAGTACTTAACTATTATTGTTAGGTAGCCATGTTAGATATTAGTGTGCTGTATTCTTCTGGGTCTTACTTTTTCCTGTACTCTTTATGTTTGAATTGCAGGGTGAAACTTCCTACATCCGAGTTTATCCAGAGAGAAGCACCAGCTATGGCTACTCACGGTCTCGGTCTGGGTCAAGGGGCCGTGACTCTCCATACCAAAGCAGGGGTTCCCCACACTACTTCTCTCCTTTCAGGCCCTACTGAGACAGGTGATGGGAAATTTTTCTTTATTTTTTAGGTGAACTGAGCTGCTTTGTGCTCAGAGTCTACATTCCAGATTGATGATTTAGTGTCTTAGGAAATTTTTTTAATTTTTTTTTAAGGAAATAAAATACATAATTTCTACCAGGGCCATATTGGCAGTGAAGCATTTTAAACTGCAGAAATTGTGGTTTTGGTTCAGAAATAAGTTGTATATTTTTCACCCCTGATTATGGGAAAAAAATCAGTGCTGTGTCTTTGTGGGTTGCTCTACTATGGAGATCAGCAGTTACTGTGACTGAGTCGGCCCATTCTGTTTAGAAATATATTTTAAACGTTTAGTAATTGACATGTGTGGTTGTCTTTGATTAAGTTAATGGATTTCACCAAACAGGCACACTGGTTAAAAAGAAAAAAGTAATTGAGTTGTAGTAGCAGCTTATACCCAGTTGGTAAGGAGCAGAAGTGGATAACTATTTGGGGACAAAGATAGTTGCTATGTTGGTGGTTTGAGAATTTCAATCCCAAGAGTTGCTTCAGGATTATTTTATAATTCAAGGCCAAGCTTATAAATAAAGCTGCCTTAAAGAAGAAGGGAGCATTTAAGACAGGGCAAAGGAATGGAAAGAATAAAACAGACTTTTTAAAGTCAGCAGCAGCATAAAGATCATTGGAAGATTTTAAAACCAAATGTGGCAGTTGGAGGGGGGGAAATCTCTTTAAATTTTGGTTCTATCACTTTTATCCGTAAATCTGTTTCATTTATCCTTGGTATCTGAACTTTCTTAAAACACAAAACAAACCAAAAAACTCCACTATCTTGGATTCTACTCAATTCAGTAAGCATGGTGGGGGTGGGGAAGTTACTTTTTTCCAGGCCTGGGCTTTTTTTAAAAAGCCACTTTATTGAAGTATGATTGACATGTAAAAAGTTGTACTTTCTTAATCTTTACAGCTCAGTGAGTTTGGGGTTAAGTGTGTATCCATGAAAGCATCACCACCATCAAGGCTATAAACATATCCATCACATCCCAAAGTTGCTTCCCTACTCCTTTAAGATTTATTTGTGGTAAGAACATTAAATACAAAATCTACCCTCTTGGCAAATTTTTAGTGTACAGTACAGTACTGTTAGCTATCCCCAGGGCTATTTTTGACATAGGTTCTTTTCAGAAAAACTATAGCTGTGGCTAGCATCCCTTTTGCATGTAATCACTTTGTGGGATAGTGGATGATTGTAGGTTAGGAGTTCGCAAGCTGTAGAGTCTACTTTGAATACTCTTCACACCTTAGGAGAAAGTTAGCCTTCTGTGGGAACAAAGTAGGTACCCAGGGACAAATCTGAATTTGTTTGGTAAAGATACAAGGGTTCTTGGATTGACAGAAACAGCAACTAAAAGTACAACACACGTTGTCACATAGTGATCAGATGCACTGTCTAATAGTTACATCAATAGAAAAATTCACTTAAGTGCAGTTTGGTAGATAGTCTCTAGAGGAGATAAAGGAGGATAACATCTTACATACTGAATAGTCTGTGAATAAATACTTGGAAAGTAACAATACCTCTTCCAGTAGCAGTAGGAACTCATTGCCTTGTTTTGGCTAGATTATTTCCCAATTTTGTCTTCAGAGAGTTATTAAAAAATACTTAATCATCAGTTTTTTTCAGGTGACTGAAGAAAGTTGGAATATTACTGTTCACAGTAACAAAATACTATCTTTGGGCTTCCACGTGTTCACAGGGTACCCATTCCCAGAATAGCTACTCAGATGTGTGAAAAAGGCTCTTGATCATCCTGCTTTGGCAAAGAGATATTACCTGTTTGAAAACAGTAACAAGAAAGAATGTTATAGCTGAGTCTGCTTCCCAGCTGGTTCTACTGAGCTAACTTATCACTTGGTTTGTCATGAAAAATAAGCAATGCAAATAAGTGTAGCTACTACCCTGTTTTTCTGAGTGTCTGAAAGAATAACAGTTGTAAGTGAAGCCTAATAAATGCACACTTTTCAATAAGGAGCAGAGACAGTTTAGCCAGTTCTATGCATATAGGAGTGGAAGGAAAGACTAATGATTGTGAATTCACTTTGTCTCAAGAAGCAAAGTCTGACACAAAGTTCTTTTTGAGAAATAGCGTATGTGGGTCAATGGCTATGTCTGCTAAAACAGTGACCACTATCAGATTCTGAGAGAGATCATAAAATCTTTTTTTTCTCTTCACAGTTAATTTGAGGTGGTTTAGTGAATCAGAGGCATGATTAACAGTTGAGTCCACAATTTTCTAAGCTTTCTTTCCCATTCTTGCTTCAAGCAAAGCTTTCCTTTAATTGGCTGGTCTTGCTCATAGAGGTAACCCTGAGCTGGGGGACTGATGTTTGTCTCTGAGGCTAGTTAGAATGGTTCTCTGAGATGATCGGAACCTGAAGCTGGTACTTGGAAAACCATCTACTACCTGAGTGCTCAAGCTAGTCCCATTCCCAGATATCCAGAAGGGTGCAGCAGGTGTCTGCAGAGGAGATTAAAAAGTTCAACCCACCCAAGATTCTGGATTTTAGTATTAGCCCAGAGTTATTTTAAGTTTTTATTTAAAATAGTCACAGTACATTTTAGAGATGCAAATCTCAACACCAAGGTTGCAAAATGATGGCTCACAGGATGCATCTGGCTTGCAGCCATGTTTTATTTACATGGTATTTATTTTTTTTTAAATCTTTGATTTAGTTCCCATACTTAAAATTTGGGAAATACCACACACACATGAAAATGCCAGATGTCTGGGTTCTTGGGGAAAATGGGCTCACATTACTGCCAGGCACTGAATGAGAAGCAGTGAGTGTTAGTTGCCCCTTCAGGCAGAGCTTGAGCTCCGGATTTGACACCATAAACACACCTCCCCATGCCAGTCCTGTTTTGTGCATTCCTACTACAGACTGGCCCCTAGAGGTGCATGTGACCCCTCCAGTCTACTGCCACCACCTATACTTTTTTTCCCACTGTTAATATTATGTGGGGTTTTTCATTCCACTTTTATTGAGATATCATTGAGATACAACACGGTCTAAGTTGTACAACCCAGTGATTTGAGATATATATATATATATATATATACACATATATATATATATATATATATATCAAAATGATTACCAGAACAAGATTAGTTAACATCCATCATCTCACATAGTTACAATTTTTTCCTTGTGGTAAGAACTTTTAAGATCTACTCTCGTAGCAAGTTTCAAATACAGAATACAGTATTATTAACTATAGTCATTCTGCTGTATGTTGAAGTTTGTACCTTTTGACCACCTTCACCTAATTCCCACATTATACTTCTTAAAGTACTTTCATGTAGCAAATTTGGACTGTACAGCTCCTACTAAATTCTTAGTTCACTGAGGGACAATCTGTTAAGCCACTTTGGGGAACACATACCTGGGGGGGCTACAAAATACTCCTCCACAACTCGATGGGCGTTTTGTAGTAGTTCTTCAGCACAGTTGCCTTCTACCACATTGTCAGATCTCAAGTATAGACATCTACAAAACCAGAAGCTCAAGGTTAACTTCTCAGAAAACACGCTTCTATAGCATGGGTGGAGAGGGTCAAGAATGGGAGAAAATGGCATGGCATATTCTTGAGTTATGGTCACTACCCAAAAGATGGAGGAGCTATGGTCAATAGTCAACCAAATAACAGTCTACAGTGTATAGATTCTCCACCACTCAAAGAGGTAAGTGGTAATTATTCCTGAGGACTGGTATGTTCAATAAATATTTCTGCATGATTACTATGGGTAAGTTGCTTTTGGTGGAGACAGGTAAGGCAATTACAATATAATGTGTTTAATAGGTAAGCAAAGCTTGCCAAGGGAGTAGAAAGGGGCAGCTAAACCAGCCTAGGTGAGGAACAGGTACTCAGAATAGGTGATGTCACTGCTAAAGGATGAGCAAGAAACCGATGGATTGGTGGGATGGGAAATGGACTTCGGGCAGGTGAAGAAACTTGCTCAAGAGTGGGTAAGTGCTTAGACAGTATAGGTCCAAGTGACGGGACTGGAATTGGCACCAAATAAATTGGTACAGTTCTTGTACCCCTAACATGAGCTGTTTTTTCACCAGCAGCCACCTTCAGGGACATGGAGGTGCCTGCCCTTGCATAGCTGAAGAATATTCCACTATTCTCTGGGCCTAGGGGCTTCATTAAAATGTCCAGATGGCAAACTAGTGAAACCAAACAGAGGTTGAACATATCTATGGGGCTTCACTGCTGTTTCAAGGTTTAAAAGTGCATGGCAAGATATCTGAGCCTGCTTCCAGATACTTGGGCTGAAAAATAAGCAGTCTGCTCAATCACTGATAGGGGAGCAGCCAAGCTCTTTCTGCTTTGAGCCAGACAGACTGAGGGGTAAACCTAATGGCACAAAAAGGCAAGGATGTGACATGAACATCCAGGCAAAGGCTGCAGAGGGTTAAGTTATGATAAGATTCTTTTAGGAAAGGACTTGTTCTGTTTATTTTGTGGTGCCCACCCTAGGGCTAGACACAAAAGCACTCATGGTACGCACTGTAGAGAGCTGCAGTCTATTCCAGGATCTGGCACTCTTAACTCTGTGTCCTTGGACAAGTATGGATCGTCCCAGACCTTAACTTTCTTGCCAAAAAAGTAAAGGTTGCACTTTTTTTTTTAACCATATGGGGGCCTATGAGAACTTGGAGAACAAAATAAAAATCCTCTGTAAAGGTGACCATTGGACCTTCTGGAGTTTGTATTTCCGTTGGGTGGTATAACAAAATGGCTAAAAGAGCTTGGGCTCCTGAGTCACAGATAAATTCAAATCTTAGTGCCACACATGGCACATGTGCAAGTTACTTATCCTCTCCATGTACCTGTTTCCTTATTTGTGGAATGCTTCATAAAACTGCTGGGAAGATTAAATGTTAAAAGAAGATCTGATAATTCTCAGGACCTGCATTCTCACTTCAGTAAGAGGTGGGTGCTGAATAGCACCTGCTCCTTTCAGAAAGAGTTAGTGCACCTGGGCACATCTCAGTCACCACTCCTCATTCAGAGTATACCTCCGCACTTAACCTGCTGTAATCACACATTACCTGCCTAGCCCCTACATACAGGAGGCTAATTGCTCCTGGGCACTTGGAGAGTTTGATGAAGTGAGACTCTACTACCACCAACACGTGGTTAAAAGCTACTGCTTCTCCACAGATGTAATAGCAAATGATTTATTCACTCATTTGATAATCAGGTTTCCTATGTAAGTAATGTTTCCAGGAAAAATTCACTCCCTTAAATGCCACACATTTTCACCTAGTTATACTGTTTATGATGGAGTTGTTTGCAGAAGAAACCCACACCTTCCTATTTTCATAATCATAGGCTACTGAACCCAGTGTCTCTGTGAGCGTGGCACATCAGTAGTTCACTTGGCAAGTTGCTTAACTTTTTTTGACCTCAGAATCATGCATAAAACTCCAAACAGGACGAGGCACCGATCAGTTGCTGATTGACTAAATGTCTATCTCACTTCCTCTTTCTCAGGGTTCTACAAGAGAATTTAGCCCAAGTACTATAGGACACCCATTTTGATAATAAATCAACTATGGACGGGCGACTGGGTGGCTCAGTTGGTTAAGCGACTGCCTTCGGCTCAGGTCATGATCCTGGAGTCCCTGGATTGAGTCCCACATCGGGCTTCCTGCTCGGCAGGGAGTCTGCTTCTCCCTCTGACCCTCCCCCTCTCATGTGCTCACTCTCTCATTCTCTCTCTCTCAAATAAAATATTAAAAAATAAAATAAATCAACTATGGACTAATATAACTATGGGACAGATAATAAAATATGGGCTAATATATACTATCCTGGGAAGCACTGAAAAAAATCATTTGAATCTTTATGTGTTCTGGTTCAGATGAGATCCTGGTTGACAAAGGCTCACAAAGCACTTTAACCAGCAACTGTGAGAAATGCTAATAAAAGCAATTTAATGGAAAGCACTATGGCCGCACCGGGAAAGAAATGCCTTTATTGGCCCTTAGACTGACCAGATAGGACCACTCTGCTGCTGGTGTCAGGCTGCCAGGAGTCATTTCTCTGGGCACCACTCTATTTCCATCTACAAGCCTTTTCCCTCCTTCCTAATTAATATCTAGTTTGATGCAGACTGGAATGAGAATCAATTTGGCTAAGAATTTTTGGTTCAAATATTCTGAGGGACATCCTAAGCACTGAAGAAGTATTTGGCTGCAGTCAGATATGTCATCATCTGAGTCAGTCTCTGGAGATGGGAGAAAATAAAGGTTCTAGGGGTTGACTTTTATTTATTTTATTTATTTTTAAAGATTTTATTTATCTGACAGAGACAGAAAGAGCACAAAGAGGAAGAAGCGGGTTCCCTGCCAAGCAAGGAGCCCGATGCGTGGCTCCATCCCAGGACCCTGGGATCATGACCTGAGCCTAAGGCAGAGGCTTAACTGACTGAGCCACCCAGGCGCCCCAGGGGTTAACTTCTAGACGGCATATCTAAAATTTATTTTTGTCAGAGAGAGCGAGAGCACGCGCACACAAGCAGGGGGAGCAGCAGGCAAAGGGAGAAGCAGGCTCCCTGCTGAGCAAGGAGCCCGATGTGGAACTAGACCCCAGGACCCTGGGATCATGACCTGAGCTGAAGGCAGACACTTAACTGACTGAGCCACCCAGGTGTCCCTTAGATGGCATATCTAGAAGTATATTTGAGAACCGAGGCTCTGAATTTCAAGTTCTGGATTCTCTTACTACACATGTGAAACTCTGGGGCATATTACATAAGCTTTCTGTGCCTCAGTTTCTTCATCTATAAAGGAGATACTAGTATTTACCTTCCAGGGTTGTATGTGATAATTCAAACAATGCATATAAAATCTTAGTGCCTGACACATAAAGGCACTAACTGCTTTTTAGCTAAAACCAAAGGATAGGGTATTAATGTGCCAAGAGCTTTCTAATAGCCAATCAGTGCTTTTACACCTAGTGTGGCCTAAAACGGTTTAACACTTGTCTTAAATGGGTTCCATTTCAAACATCAGTGAGGCAATATGTTCAAAAAACAAAGCCCTACAAGTGCTACATCTCCTAAAATAGAATAATTAAACTGGTTTCCAAGTTTATGGCCAGACTGCAGATCACTGAATATGAAGTCACTACTCCAGCTACCAGATCCAAATCCCTCTCCATCTTTTTCACAAACTCTTCCCTGGGTAATAGTTGCATTTCTTTAGTTTCTCTCTACACGATCTGGGAAATTCTGTCTCCTCTTTGTGCTTCTATTCCCAACTTTCCCAAAGATATTAATAAAGAACATTCAGTGGGGTGCCTGGGTAGTGCAGTTGGCTAAGTGTCTGACTATTGGCTTTGGCTCAGGTCGTAATCTCAGGGTCGTGAGATCAAGGCCCCCATTGGGCTCTATGTTCAGTGTGGAGTCTGCTTGGGACTCTTGCTTCCTCTTGCTCTGCCCCCTTCTCTCTCTCAAATAAAATCTTTAAAGAACATTCAACAAACATTTACTGAGTGCTAGGTGCTAGATACTAAGAATTTGATGAGTAATAACAGATATGCTCCCTGGAACATGGATGAGCAGTAGGAGGGGGACAGAGAATTAAATATTACTCAAATATGGGATGCCTGGCTGGCTCACTCAGTAGAGCATCCAACTTTTTTTTTTTTAAAGATTTTATTTATTTATTTGAGAGAGAGAGAATGGGAGATAGAGAGCATGAGAGGGAAGAGGGTCAGAGGGAGAAGCAGACTCCCCGCTGAGCAGGGAGCCCGATGTAGGACTCGATCCCAGGACTCCAGGATCATGACCTGAGCCGAAGGCAGTCGCTTAACCAACTGAGCCACCCAAGTGCCCGAGCATCCAACTTTTGATCTCGGGGTCATGAATTCAGCCCTACATTGGGTGTACAGATTACCTAGGAAAATAAATAAATATATAAATAAATAGTACTCAAATAGATGTATAAACACAAGTAAAATTACAGCTCTATTGAATACCATGAGAGAGCCACAGGTCCTGAAACAGAGCCTGACTTGATAGAGAAGAATCTGAGGAAGAGGCAGTTGAAATCTGAAGAAAGAAAAAGTAGGCAAAAAAGAGTAGTGGGTGGGATGAGGTAGGGGATTCTAAGAAGGAAACAGAATGGAGAGCTCAATTGAATACCATGAAAGAGCCACAGATGAATAAATAAATCTTTTTAAAAAATTTCTATTTTGAAGTGCTACGTAATTTTGGGGAAACATTGACTTATGTAGATTTGAGCATCAGATTACAAAATAAACAGCCTTTTTTTTATAAAGATTTTATTTATTTGACAGAGAGAGAGAGAGCATGAGAGCAGGAACACAAGCAGGGGGAGTGGAAGAGGGAGAAGCAGGCTTCCTGCCTAGCAGGGAGCCTGATAGGGGACTCGATCCCAGGACCCTGGGATCATGACCCGAGCCGAAGGCAGATGCTTAACGACTGAGCCACCCAGGCACCCCAGATTACAAAATAGAGAAAGGATGTGAAGGAATCAAAGACTGGAGGTGAGAATGGGAGGCTAGCAAGCACTTTACACAGAAGTTATGGTTACAGATAGGTCTGGTTCTCCTTATTGGTGCTAATGGCAGCTAATCTTTTTTGCTCCCATCTATATTAAGAGTATTTTTTTTTTAAGTAGGCTCCACGCCCAGCATGGAGCCCAATGTAGGGCTCAAACTCACAACCCCGAGATCAAGACCTGAGCCAAAGTCAAAAGTTGGACACCTAACTGAGCCACCCAGGCATCCCAAGAGTGTATTTTTTTTTTTAAATCCCATCAAGGGGCACCTGGGTGACTCAGTTGAATGTCCGACTCTTGGTTTCAGCTCAGGTCATGATCTCAGGTCCTGGGATCAAGCGGAGAATCGGGCTCCCCACTCAGCGAGGAGTCTGCTTGTCTGCCTCTCTCTGATCCTCTCCCTCTCTCTCTGATCTTTCCCCTGCAAACCACGCTGCACTCTCTCTCAAATTAAAAAATCTTTTTTAAGAAATCCCATCAAGAAAAGGATAGGACAGAGTTGTAGACTGCCTCTGTCTTTAAGAGTTACATACCCATCCTTCCCAAGAAACTAGTCCTAACCAGCAAACAAGTCTGCTTTTCAGAAAAGAGCATTTTCTTTAAAAATGTATTAAGAGGGCGCCTGGGTGGCTCAGTTGATTAAGCGAATGCCTTCGGCTCAGGTCATGATCCTGGAGTCCCAGGATCGAGTCCCACATTGGGCTCCCTGCTTAGTAGGGAGTCTGCTTCTCCCTCTGACTCTCCCCCCTTTTGTGCTCTCTCTCTCTCATTCTCTCTCTCAAATAAATCTTTAAAAAAATAAATAAAAATAAAAAAATAAAAATGTAAGATTTCGGGACACCTGGGTGGCTCAGTTGGTTAATCATCTGCCTTCGGCTCAGGTCACGATCCCAGGGTCCTGGGATTGAGTCCTGCTCAGCGGGGAGCCTGCTTCTCCCTCTACCTGCCTCTTCCCCTGCTTGTGCTTGCTCTCTCTCTGACAAATAAATAAAATCTTTAAAAAAATTAAATAAAATAAAAATGTATTAAGATTTGGCAAAAATTGTTAGAAGTGGGGAGAAGCTGTGCATCCTTTTAGTATAATATTCACAAACTGCTTTGTCAAAGAGCTGCTCCTCCCTGCTGCACTATACTACGTCACTTCTTGTGTTACTACTCTGCTCCTTTAAGCATTTGTGTTTTGGCCCTCAGTATAAGATGAAAAGTTAGAACTTCCCTCTGTCTGCATTTCCACTTTCTTTTAAAACTAATTAGTTACAGTTTCTTGCATGCTCTGAGGGAACAAAACAAAACTTAATGCATATACCAGAATATGTCAAATAGGTAACACATTAAAGTATTGATAATCCCATACACAATGTTCTGAACTTTGCCTTTTTTTTTTTTCCGTATCATTATTTTTAATGTCCAGCATTTACAACACGAGGGCCAGAGCTTTCTCCCCAACTCAAGTTTATAAATTCTCAACTGGCTTGTGAGGCCAATAGGGATACTTCTTGTCTAATCTGGTTTCTGGGAAGACTTCATTCAGGTCCTCAATGGTCATCTGATCAAATGGAATTATGTTCCTCATCTTCTCCAGCTCTTTTTCATATTCCTCAATCCTGGCCTTTGAGAGAGACAAAAACTCGGCACAACTTTTCACATCTTTTTCTTCAGCATCCACCTGAACAGTATATTTATCCTCTGGCACAGGAACCTTCAGGGCATTAAACTTCTTCTCAAAGTCATCTACCAAACCAGCCTTTGCCACATTGGCCTTGTAGTAAGCCCAGTCGATAGCAGGTGGTTTCTCAGGGAGAGTAGCCAATCTGGAGGTAAGTGTCTCATTCCAGGATTTCAGGGAGTTAGCAATGGCCTTCTGGTTTCGGGGTATGATCTCCCCAAAAGCTACCCAGTCAATGGTTTTTAGAGCAAGTTTTCGCGCAGCCATCTTGAGATCCTTCACCGACCCCGGCGGCCTAGAGTCTACAGCAGCAAGGAACGGAACTGGGTCACCGGCTGAACTTTGCCTTTTTTATTAAATATATCTTTTCATATCAGCATAGTTGTTTCATTACATTTATTTATTTATTTTAATGGGGGGGATATAATGTATCCTAAGATTTTTTTTTTTTTTTTTGACACAGCGAGAGAGGGAACACAAGCAGGGGGAGTGGGAGAGGGAGAACAGGCTTCCCGCTGAGCAGGGAGCCCAATGCAGGGCTCGATCCCAGGACCCTGGGATCACAACCTGAGGTGAAGGCAAATGCCTAACAACCGAGCCACCTAGGCGCCCCAGTTGTTTCATTATTTTTAAACAACTGTCAAATATTCCATTGTATGATGATGTATTTAGCCATGAAGGACACTTAGACTGTTTTTTGTTTCTTGGGGTTCAAAAAAAATTTTTTTAATTCATTTAAGTAAACTCTACCCCCAACTGGGGCTGGAACTCATGACCTGGAGATCACAGCATGCTTTATGGACTGAGCCAGCCAGGCACCTCTTGTTAGGAGTTTGTTGTTGTTGTTTTTTGTTTTGTATTATAAACAGGTTTAGATACCATGAACACTCCTGCATACATCTTGATGCACTTTTACAGATGTTTCCACAGGGAACCACTAGGTCAGAAGATATGTACAGGCCATATTTTGAGACAGGAATCCAACAAGTAAGCAAGTCAAACATGAGCTCACATTCTATTAACAAGAGACAAATCACCAAAAATAAGATAACCAAGAAATAGAAGAAAATCCAACAAGATCAGGAGTAGGTAACTGTTAAGGGAGAAGATATTTGGAGGAAAGGCCTTACCGAGGAGATAAACTAAGACCTGCCAAGGAAACAGGCTGTCCAAGAAAAGGGGAATAGCAAACGCAAAGATCCTAGACAAGAAACACATTTGTCATGTTGGAGAAACAGTAAGGAAGCTAATGTAGCTGGAGTAAAAAGAGCAGAATGCCCGAGTGCGGGGACTCTATGAAGCAGGGCCTCAAAGGCGATGATTAGCAGTTCGGACACGGTTCCTTGTTACACTGGGAGGCCAAGGGGACTTTAAACGGAGTGACAGGATCCGTAATGAACAAAGGAAAGCATGAAAACACTTACCCGCGGGGTGACCGTGGGCAAGTTCTTGCATCTCGCTAAAGCTCTTTTCCCTTCTGTGAAAGGACACACTAATCATCGCCACCTCAAATGGCTGCGAAGGCGCCACAGGCAAGGCTTGGGGGTGCGCAGCCGCGAGCGTTTACCTGTCCTCCAGTACTGATTCCATGGGCTCCACCCCGTCCGTGTCCACGGCGCGGAGCCGGTCGGCAAAGGCGATGGCTTTCTCCAACCGTGCTACGGCCTCTTGGCTGCCGAAGTCCACAAGCGCTAGACGCTCCAGGTGTTCGATCACCTCGGCCGTGACCCTGTCACTACGCTGGGGGGATGAGGCGGAGAATAGGGGTCACGGGTGGGGCCTGCTCCGCCTCCTGTCCTTCTTCACCACCCGCTTAGACGCCCCCGGACTTTACCTGAGGATCCGCCTTGGAGGTGAAGCCCCGGCGCCAGCCCACCCAGGACCGAAAGCCCAGCTTCACCGCCCGCGCCCACATTTCTCTCTTCAGCCGCCGTAGTGCGTCCTCACTTAAAGCCGACGACGCACTTAGGAGTGACGACATCAGAGCGCGCCGCTACTGCCGCCGCCGCCATGAATAGCGTAGGGGAGGCCTGCACCGACATGAAGCGCGAGTACGACCAGTGCTTCAATCGCTGGTTTGCCGAGAAGTTCCTCAAGGGGGACGGCTCCGGAGACCCGTGCACCGACCTCTTCAAGCGCTATCAGCAGTGTGTTCAGGTGAGCCTTTAGGTGGCCAGGGCCCTTTCGTTTCTACCCCCGCCCCTGCTTCTCTCTGCGGTGTCCCCGCCACACGCGTAGTATTTCGCGGAAGTTGGGATGGGGAGGGTGAAGAAAAGCCACAGTGAGGACAGTGGCCGGAGCTCTCTCCCCACCATCACCACCAAGGCCGCCCGGTATTTCTCTGAATGACAAAGTTAAATATTTTTACAGTGCTTTACATTTTACCGAGCACAGAAACATCCTTTGGTTCATTTGGTGCTCCTCCTAAACTCGTAAAGTGGGCATAGTTCTTGGTATTTTATACATGGAACGTTCCCCAAATAGGAAGTGATTAGTTCAAGGTAACCGGAATCGTTTCCTTGATTTTTGCGGTGGTGCACTATTCCACTATTGTTGGGGGGCGAAGAGGGGTGTTAGTCTCTCTGGCCTGTTAGACATGAGGGTCTCATTTTGTTGTTATAATTCCTTCTTTGGTTTGCTGTATCTCTCAACCCGCTGGGAAATTTTCATTCCAGTTCAGTGAATGTGAAACTGCTTTGGATTGTAAGAACCGCACTGGACACAACACTCCTAGTTAAAACATCCTCAGGGTAATTCCAAGTTGCTATCTTTAGCCCATTTATAGATAGGAAAGTGAGGCTTGCTCAAGGTCACATAGCCTAACTAAGCCCTGGAACTCAGATTTGAATTTGTGTGTCATAACAGAGTGGAGATACTGTTTAAATTCCACATCTGAAACACTGACGATTCCTCACAACTCCTTTCCAATCTCTCTCTCTGGTCTTACATTTAATTTCTCCATAATGGTACTCAGGTTAAAAAAAAGTAGTCAAGTACAGTACAGTAAAAAAAGTACAACCCAATCATGGTTGGGTGTTCTCTTGATCTGATTTACTTTTTTACCATCATATTTACAAAGTTTGGTCCTTAAGCTTCACATAGACCTGTGTCGTGTGTTTCCTTCTCCATCAGAAAGCAATAAAGGAGAAAGAGATTCCCATTGAAGGACTGGAATTCATGGGCCATGGCAAAGAAAAGCCTGAAAGCTCTTCTTGACCTTGACAGTCACCTTGAAAATAAACTCCTCCAATCAGGAAATTGAGGACACTGGATTTCGTCAATTACGGCTGTGAAAATAGCCATCGATTTGATGAGGAGTTTAGGAGGGAGGAGTTTTCTTTCCTCCTTGATTTCTCTCACTTGTAAAAGATGATGAACCCTATCACTCTGCTATGAGATGATTTCTCACTTACTCTGGCATCTTGCAGGAACTCCATGTGCTTAAACTGAATGACTTCTTGGGATTATGGTTGCAATACTTGGTCTGGGATCAGCTTTAAATATCCTTTGTATGTAAATACTGATAAACCTGTCCGGATGATCAGGGCTGCCTGACCTCTTGAGTTTTGCTGCAAAGGACATTAGGTACATTGTACTAGGGTTATTATTCATGGAAACAATTGGTTAGGATCTCTCTTTTCTCTCAGGGAGCTAAGGCTCTGAAAAGGGATCCCAGCACAACAGTTTTAATCAATGCTTGGGAGCACGGTTTTATTTTTATAATAACAACTTTTAAGATTGCTGGTGGACTGGATTAGCCAAGAGGAAGACAGCTTTAAGAGTTCTCTGCCTTAAGAAGAGGTGTCAGATTTCTGATTAAGATGTGAAAGCTTGAAGAATGTTGCACACCATTTCTGAGCTCATAGTGTAGTTTAGGAATGAAGATCCTTGGAGTAACAATGGAGGAAGATCCTAAATTGCAAAGATTTGCTGTTGCCAGATTTCAGCCCAAATTAAGCAAGCCAACCTGTATTATTAAACTGCCAAAATGCTGCCTTTAGTTAAATGGGAGAAGTTTGTTTTATTTGCCTTGTGTACCTATCCTGCCTGTAATGTTTGTAATCATGAAGATGGAATAAATTGTAACATTTAGTTTCATTATTTGCCCCTGGAGAACTCAGTGCACTTTACAGAACAAGTATTACACTGTAACCCCACATATCCCATATGTACCCTGGGGAAAGTTTTGTTTTATAATTTAAAGGTGAAGAAAAAGTTAAAATTTATCTAAGGTATATAGTGTGCTAAAACAACTAGAAACCTCACTGATTTCTAAAATTTATTCCCACAGTAAGCTACACAAATAACTTAATATGCTTCTATACCTGCAAAAAAATGTCAGGATCAGGTGAGCACTTACACACTTTGGAATGTCAGGTAGTCACCAAATTGCATGTCTTGAGTAATTTGGTTCAATTATATATACCCAATATAGTAAACAATTTACAGAAGATGGAAATTTTATTAGCCTCTAATTTACCAGTGACCACTTCATATTTAACATGACCAGTCCTTAATGTCATTTCAATACATTCTACATTTACATTTTGACTAGTTATGGTCCATTATATACATGGATTAAAAAGATATTTGAGATCCAGCTGAGGGAGGCCAGGCAGCAAGCCAAAGTAAAGTACATCTGTCCTGAACTCAGACTGACCACAAGTACAATGGTTCTTTGGGGACTTGGAAGTACAAGCACAGGCTGCGGTTTGATCACAAAATGGAAAAGGGAGCAGGGATTCTTTTCTCCCTTACGGTAAAAGGCTTTTATAGCCTGTGTTTCCATATGCCTCACCTTTGCAGTACTAGTTTACTATATGTTACTATGCAATACCAAAGCCTGGTAGCTGCTTGAATCTTACTACAAAACTGTCTGGTTGAGCCTCGAGAATAAAACCACTCCAAGTCAACCATGTTTTTTCATTGTAACTGCTGAGGGAATAATTTCTTCTGATTGTTATTTATTCTTTTTAAGAGAGAGAAGAGAACCTTAGGCAGGCTCCCCACAGCGTGGAGCCCAATGCAGGGCTCGATCTCACAACTCTGAGATCATGACCTGAGCTGCAATCAAGAGTCAGACACTTAACCAACTGAGCCACCCAGGTGTCCAATTGTTCTTCATTCTATTTTGACTTCCTCCTGCCCATAAAGTGATTCCAACTATCTCAGCTACTTCAAAGATTTTAAATTTTGAAGAGAAATTAAATGCTCTGTAAGGGTGACTTTGATACTATTACTCTTGTTTCTCCCTAATTCTTAATGCTACAGGAAGGTTTTAATTCCAGAAACAAATAAAGCTAATTGCTATATACAGAAATGTGTCATACTGCCTTTATTTCTCCAAAAGTTTCTGACCCTTCTAACCTTCATGGTGCTGAGAGATGACAAGATGAGAACTTGACACTTTTGGAGACAATTACCTGACCACAGGGAATATTCTTCAGCAAATGCTGGTGGAATGGGACAAGAGAAAGCTAGGACAGAGTAAGCACTTCTGGAGAGTCAAAGATACCTCTTTCAGATGTAAATTGCAGGTATTCTACTCAATATCTTTACCACCCAAAGTCTGTCAGGACCCAATCTTGATACTTAAATTAGCTCCACTTACGGTCCCTTTGCTTTATCCACTCCAGGCATAAGAAACCAAGGACAAGCCTATTATAAACTCTGTTATCCAGAGGCCTGTACAAGGCAGCCATAAACCTTCATTATAGAAACGAAAATAACAATGCTGATTTTGGAAGGAAAAACACCAAAGAATGCAACTCTCAGATCATGGACCAATCTAAGTTATTTATTTAAGCCATCTCCTGCCATAAGCAAAGGGATGGAAGATCAGTATACTGGTCATCATTTGATACAAGTAAGGAAGGTGAGCTTAAGGTCCCATAGACTTCTGATCCGTGTGCAGAGTCATGGTCCAAACCAGTGCTGTGGTCCCCACTGGGTGGTGGTCCCGGTTCTCTCTATTCATCTTCATAGCCGGTTGGAAGTGGATTCACGTGAGAGTTATGGAATAGAGTATGATTACCATCTCCCCAGGGAAAGGGCTGTGGAGTGAAGATGTCAGTTAGGCAATTCCAGAAACAGCACTGCCATGAACTGCTTCAGACAAAGGGTGACAGACCATACATAAAAACAAAATGGTAATTAGTCCTTTAACTACTGGCGTATTCCAGCCTTCCCACAATTTAAGGGAGCTCTTTTAACTTCCAGGAGAGCCTTTAAAATAGGCAGTAGGAAAAGCAAGCTCAAGTTCATTATTCATAAGCCTCTCCCTGGCAACTAGTCTATGAGGGCAGTGTTTATGAAAGTGTAATCCTCACATCATCTGTATCAGAATGGTAGAGGTGGGTAAATGAGAGAAGATGCTTACTTAAATGCAGACTTTGGGCTTCATTCCAGATCTACTCTGGATTGGAAACTGCAACCTACTCTCCTCAATTTTTTGCAAGCTGCCTTTGAAGAACATTGCTCTAGGGCAGTGGTTTCCAAACCTGGATGATTTTGCCCAAAGACACTGGGCAATATCTGGAGACATCTGGGAGAGGGCATCTAGTGGGTAGAGGTCAAGGATGCTGTTAAATATCCTAGGACTCATAGGATAGCCCCTTGTCCCAACAAGAATTATCCAACCCCAAATGTCAATAGTATTGAGGTTGAAAACCATGGTATATGGCTTTTACATCTTTGTACAAGGGTGGGAGTGGGGCTCAGACTCAAAAATTCTTTCTGAGTCTAAGACTCTAGCTTAAGTTTCTATAAGGCCAGTCCTATCTTGGCTAAGTGATATAATAGTTATTAAAGAGCCAGCAGGGCCTCTTGTTAAAAATACTTACAACAAGCAATGGAAAACAAATGATTACATCTACATCAATAGCAAAGGATAAAACAGTTGAGAAAATACTAGCAGAGGTAGGAATAAGAGAAGCTGTTAGTCTCTTCAACATGCAGCTGGTACCTGCCAGATGCCCAGGTCCTAGAAGTGTGAACCACCTTC